ATCCCCCTCAAATATGTGGATTCGGGAATTTGATCTGTTTTTTTTTTTTTTCAACCTACTTGTTGAAAGAAAAAGCTGAATCACGTATGGCCGGTTTTAGGGTGCTGGAGCCCTTAAAAATAGTTGTTTTTTTTTTTATGACAGTCATGCATGAATTTATCCAATGTCTCAGGAACCTGTAATATCTATTGATTATGTCAGAAATTCAGAGTTGTCTGAACCCATTCTATGATCTCAAAGAGCCCTCAGTTCTTATCTTGGACTACAGATTAATCAGCCTTTATGTTGTGGAGATCTGAGCGTAGGAGTGGTTGAATAGTTGAGTAAAAGGCTCTGCGTACGGCTGGGAAAATACAACATGACACAAAAGCTTGGTGCATTTTTTAAAGATCAAAAAGTGTTTTTCTGTACTTGCAGGGTATAGACAGTATGTATCACAAGACCCAATGTTGTAAGTCATGCTTCTGACTTTTGAGTCATTACCAGGCTCTTTTTGCCTCCAGTGATCAGAGGTGCTCATTATTGCACTGGTAGCTTTTCCACTGTTCATTTGACTTGTTTGAAGACTGGCAGAAACTTCCCTGTGTATTGTTCTCAGTATCTGCCAATCTATAACCCCCTAATCTGTCTATTCAACTGTTCCCCTCAACACCAGCTAACAGAGTGGGGACATCACCCATAGGTTCCTATGGCTCTTCCATTGTCTGTGCTCTCCTCTCCCCTGTAGCTGCCGCTAGCTGACACAGGGGAGTTGGATCATGTTGTTGGATCAAGCTGGGTGACAATAGATAAGTATATACATCTTTAGTTTTTAATACTAGTTAGGTTTATCCTAGAATTCTACTTGAATTATTTAACTGTTCCAGGTCTAAAACCCCATAAGACAAAATGATGCTCTACATCAAAGAGGAACTTCAGCTTTTTTTGTAAAAACCACTGCTAATGCACAAGGCACGACAGTGCATTAAGACTGGTCCTGCAATCTCCTGGAACATGTAATGCCATCGAGAAATGGTGGGTCAAACTGACACAATTCTTGCCTAGACATGGGCAGCACAGTGGCTAAATGGTTAGTACATCCACCTGGCAGTACTAGGGTCATTGGTTCAAATCCCAACCACGGCACCACCTGCCTGGAGCTTGCATGCTCTCCCTGTGCCTGCATGGGTTTCCTGCAGGTACTCCGGATTCTTCCCACACTCTAAAGACATGCTGGTAGGTTAATTGGCTGCTGTCTAAATTGGCCTAGTATGTGTATGTATGTATGAATGTGAGTTAGGGACCTTAGATTGTAAACCCCTTGAGGGTTAGGGACTGATGAAAATGTACAATATATATGTAAAGCACTACGTAAATTGATGGCACTATACAAGTACCTATAATAAATATAATCAACAAAAATATTATTTTCTTTTCCCCTCTCTCCCTTTTCTTACCCCAATCTCAAAAATATCCAAACTTTAATGTGCAATCTTAATTACCCTAAATTTACATCTACCAACAACAAACTAAAAAAAATAAATAAACTTAAGTGTCCAAAAAAATGTCCTTTTCTTATAAACAACAGGTCCCAATCTCTTTTTCTCCACTTCAATCGCTTTTTCTTGTAATATTTTATATGAAATTTCCAATACGATGATCCAGTAGGAAAAACCTCAAAAAAATATATAAATTCGCAAATAGTGTATTATCTTATTACAAAATTTTATTTGTGCACTATGTGTCATGCACACTCCAACACAAAGTGTTCAAACAGTGAGGAAAAAAAAAAAATATCTGTAATCTATAAATATACTCTAAAATGTGTACCAACAATATATCTTAAAGCACATACCAAGTGCATCTATAAAAATGTGACAGTGAACTCTACACACTGCAATCACTACTCAAAATGTGAATCCAATCAACCAGTGTAAAAAAGTGACCACTCCAAACTGGTGCTACAAATGAACAATTACCCTATGAAGGTAATAATCCGCTTTCTGGAATGATCAATGACTGCTCCTCCAATTTTCTCAAACTTCCATTAAACGTATACCCATATTCTTTCGGTATATCTCCCTATAATACTACCTATAAGAAATAAATTACCTAAAAAGAGTCTGGGGAAGGAAAAGTACAAGCTGCCCTTCACCTTCTGGATGAAGGTGTACTCTAGCTCTAGCTTGAGTAACTGTTGTCAGTAAACTTTCCTAATATTGTGAGCTGCATAAGTACTAACACTGGAAGTTAAACATCAGCAGGTAAGGGCAAATTGTCAGTCCATGAATTTATGGAGTGTCCACTGCATTGGGGCTGCTATATAAAAGCCAAGGAACAAGAGCAGAGATAAATCACTGTGTTATGCCTGTAACACAAGTTTTTGTATGTGTGTACAACTGTAAATCACACCACGAGAATGAGTCAGGATTCTTGTGAGTATTAGTCAACCTGATCACACATGAAGGGATACACGCATACCCATTCTTGTGCCTTTGCATCAAAACATTTAAGTAGATGGCGAAGGACAGTGCTCTGGTATTGCTGGGAACTGAGTGAAACATTAGACTTTTGTGAATCTTTACAGTGTGCTAAACTAAACATGTAAGGAATGCTGTGCTAAAGGCAATCTACCTCTCTTTGAGGTAGTTGTGATGGTCGAGATAAGTAAACAAAGGAGTTTCCTAGAAAAGATCATAGGATATTAATAGTGTGGTGGATTGGAAACTTTCATTGTAAGCAGTGCTGAAGCATGGTCCTCTAGCACCCAACGTGAAAAGTGGTGCCCTTTTCCATATTTTGTCTAATTCTAGGCACGTGTATTTTCCCAAATTCCTTCTTTCCTGCCACTGGTCCTACTCATCTCCTAGATTGTAAGCTCGAAAGAGCAGGGCCCTCGAACCCCTCGTGTATTGTTCTGTTACTGTATTGTCTCATGAACTGTCCCCCACTATAATCTACAGCGCTGAGCAAACCTTTTGGCGCTATATAAATACTGTTTATTATTAATAATAATAATAATAATAATAATAATAATAAATCTGTACATTCATATTTACTCCCAAATCAAGGATCTGATGTACCTTCAGGATAAGAAGAAAGGAAAAACCTATTTCTTTGTTTATCTGGCATTTTTTTGAAAGGAAATGCGTGATAACAAAACCACTTGCCCTCCAGAGCATTTACCCCCCTTCCTGACCAGGCCATGTTTTGCAATACAGCGCTGCGTTACTTTAAATGACAATTGTGCGGTCATGCAACACTGTACCCAAATGAAATCTATGTTCAATTTTTCTCACAAAAAGCTTTCTTTCGGTGGTATTTGATTGCCTGTGTGTTTTTTATTTTTTTGCGCTATAAGTAAAAAAAGCCGACAATTTTGAGAGAAAACCAATATTGTTGACTTTTTGCTATTTAACATGTCCAATAAAAAAAAAATAAAAATCACATTTCGTCATAAATTTAGGTCACAATGTATTCTGCTGCATGTCTTTGCAAAAAAAAAATCCCAAAACGTGTAAATTAATTGGTTTATGTGGAAGGTATGGCGTTTACAAATGGCAGTATATATACTGGAATTTTTTTTTTACTAGTAATGGCGGCAGTCAGCGAATTATAGCGGGACTGGGGGGGGGGGGAACTGACTTGGTGTCACTGACATCCCTAGTGACACCAATACAGTGACCAGTGCTAATAAAAAGCACACTGTACTAATGGAACTGGGCAGGAAGGGGTTAACATCTAGGGCAATCAAAGGGTTAATGTGTGCTGTTTCACTATGGGGGCTGTGTGAGCGCTTCACTGTAAGTACACTGCTTTGTATGGCTCTGCTATGCAGAACCTTACAAAGCAGTGTGCAGGAGCTAACAGGGGAGAGATCGGTCAGGTCTCTCCCCCGTCGGTGATACTCAGCAATCACTGGGTACCAGCGAGTAATCACTGCCCGGGACCCAATGATTGACAGCCAAGGCCGCGATTGGTGGTGCGGGTAGAGCGCGCGCCCCCTACCCTGAACTGCAAAATCACATATACACATGATTTTGCGTATCCGTGCTACCCTGTAGCAGTATTTCTGCTGTAGGGTGGCGCAGAACTGGATATATATTTTTAGCATTTTATTTATATTGTTTTGAATGTTGGGGTTCTGGTGTCATGCTAAAGTCAGTTAAATGTCTGCTGGGAAAACTGGCCTTCAAGTATAATAAAAGTTTCTAAATACCTATGTAGCCAGGTTCAAGCTGCAATTCAGGGACATCTGCTGCACAAACTGAGATTCCCTTTTTCCCCTCTAGTGTTCAGTGCAGAGTAAACATAATTTCCTGCTGACAGATTGGAAAGTGTGCGTGAGAAGTAGAGGATCTTGGGACCTGTAGTTCCATCGACTGCATTGTCGGGACTACATTTACCAGAGGAAAGGAAAACCAAAGGGCATCCTGGGGAGGCAGATATATTCTCCTGCAGCAGCCACGCTGGGGCTCTTGGAGGCTGACAGAGGGGAGCATGTATTTTTCCCTTTCAAGACTAGGTCGCAGTTCCACCATCCAGCATAGTAAACCTGCTCAGCAGTTCAAGACCAGCACTACAGGGTTCTAGGGACCGCAGTAAACTTTGGAAATTGGGTCGACCGCTGCTGAGCATTTTGCAGGTGTCACTACCCACTGTCTTGATCAGTTGTCAGAAGGCAACCCGCATCCATTCTACTCTACAGTGGATATCAGTTATGTCATCTCCCAGGGGTCTGGTAAGCGGGGTGTAAGCCCAACATCCTCCCAAACACAATATAGACACTGCATGTAGACACCGTTATCCCCCTCTTTACCTATTTAAAGGCTTCTGTTGGGGAATATCTTTTGCTATCCTATTCACTCTGATAGTTGCCATTGCACAGTGATCCCTGTGGGGCCCCACCATAAGCTAGCTGAAGATTAAGGATACATTTACTTCCAGGATTTCTCCATTCAAATGATTCAGTCTACAGTGTTTTTAACTGTCTGTTTGTTTTTTTTTTTTTTTTACTTTACTTTATTTACTTTAAGGGGGAAATACTACCCAGGCAGGGGCGGACTGACCATTTGGAGACTCGGGCACTGCCCGAGGGCCCGGGGTCAGTAGGGGGCCCCATGAGATGCCCTTGGTACCTTTTTCATAGGCTTTTTTGAGTTTGGGCAAGGACACAGGGGCCCCATGATCCCCTATTGCCCGGGGGCCCCATGAGTTATCACTCCGCCCCTATACCCAGGTTTCATAAATTGTGCTTTATTGCTTACTTAGATTGTAAGCTCCAAGGAGCAGGGCCCTCTTAACGCTTGTATTGAACTGTAGTGTTGCTGTATTGTCACCCTTTATTTTGTAAAGTGCAAACTGCTGGCGCTATATAAATCCTGTATAAAATAATAATACTTCTCCTGTGGCAGCAGGACTTAGAGGGAGCTGACTGCCTAAAGGTCTCCTCTTCGCCGCTCCTGGAATCAAAGGTCTATTTAGGATTTGGTGGTCCTGCATTTAAGCCTATTGACACCATCATTTCTACTGTTTATCTTTGTGACTTTGATGTTATCAGGGGTGTGGAAATTTTTTAAAAAAAACTACTTGTCCCTGGACAAAATTGGTGGCCCAATCTACTTGTCCTCATGACAATCTACTTGTTAAGATAAAAAAAAAATGTAACCAAAAGTGTATTTAAATCGGAGGTGATATTAGGAATGGCAGGGGGTTTTAAAAAGAAAAGGTTCTTTATGGTGACTTAAAGTTTTAATATTTTTAACATTGCGCTGTTTATCTCCTCCTCACCCGGGACTAGCAGGGAGGGGAGAGACCTTTTAGTGTAATGAGCACCGATTGGCTGCTCCTCAGGAAAGGGTGGGTTAGGGCTTATCCTTTATCCCTTTCGCTGCCAGAGCCGTTTTTGCATTTTTTGCGCAAGTTCAAAAAATCATTTTAGGCCTGAATATTACATAAAACCCTCAAACATGATATATTTTCTGAAAGCAGAGACCCTAGAGAATAAAATAGTGATAGTTCCAATTTTTTATGTCGCATGATATTACCCGCAAAATTTAATAAAAAAATACAAGTAAATTAATTTTAGGGCACAAAAAAGTAATACATTACCCTATTTTTTTGTAAAATATAGAAGATGAGGTTGCACAGAGTAAATAGATATCTTAAACCTTAAATTTGTGCACGCTCGTGAAATGGTGACGAACTTCAGTACCCTATATTTTCTATAAGTCGACACTTTTAAAGCTCCCTATGGGTCATCAGTTTAGTGTCACGAAGGGGGTCTGGTGTTAGAATTATTGTTCTCATTCTGGCGTGTATGGCGATATGTGACATGTGTATCTCAATCAACTGTTTAATGTGTAGGCACCCCAGCATGTGCTTTTACGTTTGTACGTGCATATATGTGGGGGGTGTCTCAATTTTCTTTTTCGGGCTTATGGTATGTGCTTGGGTGTAACTTTAATATTTTACAAGCAGAGCCTGGGAGACCTCACAGGGAGCGGGGAGAGGCTGGCACTGTGTGGAAGCAATGTGGCAGCATTGCTGTTGCCCGAATGCTTCCACCTGACAGGTGAGCCTGCTGCTTGCCCGCAGCAGGGCTAAAGGTAGAAAAAAACTACCTGCCCGACGCCCGGAACTACATATCCCGGGTGTTGGGCAATAGGAATCGAACATCTCTGTGCTATATTTTGCCAGTTGGGGAACATCCACAACTAATCTTTTTTTGTTTTTTGTCTACTGCTGACTTAATCATCTCTAGTAAAGCATTATCTTGTAAAGCCATTCCTTTGACAGTATTTAGCACTTGTGTTTGCAGTATCCCACAGTACCTAAGAAATGGTGATGTCATCATCCTTCTGGAAAAATCCCAGAGTAGCCTAAATCTCACGAGAAGATGATCCTGTACTGTGCTGCAGTGTCTTGATTTGGAGTACTTGGCATTTCCTAGCATCTTGTCAGCAAGATGATGACATTGTTTTCTGCACCATAGAAGCATAGTTGAAGGTGAGTATATTATCTCACTATTTTACCTACAGGTGTTTGTTTTAAACTTTATTTGGTGTTTTTAGCAAGAGGGGAGGAGCCACTTAAAAAAAAGCATACCTTACTTGGAGTACAAGGTCCACGTTAACCCCTTCACTCCCGAGGGTAAAACAAATCTTAATGTCTAAGCACAATTCTGCAACGTTGACATGTGTTAGTAAAACTGTACATATCATCACAACTGCTTTGTACATCCAGGTGAATTATACCTTGTTTTTTTCAGGACAAATTGGGCTTTCATTTGGTGGTAAATGATGATGGATATCCCCTGATTTTTTTTTTTTTATTATTATCAAAGGAAAACTGGTCCAAAATAGTAAAACAAAATCATTTTTTTATATTTGTTGTTACTACCATAACCTACCACCACCAAAGAACAACCCAAAATAAATTCTCCTGCTCCTGGCAATCACAGTGATACCATATGTGTATGTTATTTGTTGTTTGTACCCGTAGTACAGCCCAGAAACAATAGTGCGCATTTTGTTATTTTTTGTTTTTTTTGCCCTACCTAAAACACACTGACACTGACTCTGATACTAAAAAAAAAATCCTGCCCAAAATATACTGGCCCTGACCTTTCAACCTGACCTCAATGTTTGACCTTACTGGACTCAAACACTAACCATGGCACTGACCTAGATCAAACCTTGATCTAGGTATTTTTTTTTCTTTTATTTTTAAATATTTATTTATTTTACACACCATTTTTTTTCTTGCTGAAAGTGAACAGTGTATCTCTCTCCTCCATTTAGAGAGAGAAAACACAGGGGTGGCTTCACAGTGACTGATCACTATCACAGCGATCAGGTGACTCAGAAATTCAAGGTCCTGATCGTAAGTACAGGACCTGGGGCGCACGGTAAGACCCCGTTCTCTGTGCTGGGAGCGCACTGTGCGGCGCGCTCACCGCACAAAGGGAGATACACAAATATGCAGCCCCAAGGCTTAAGCCCAGTGCAGTGAGGCCGCTTATTTGTGTAAGGTCGGCGTTAAGGGGTTAAATAAAATGCATGCATAAAAAAAAATAGGACCTTTCAATGAACTGAACCATGACTAGAGAAGCAAAACACAAATAGTTTTTCAGATGCTTAGGTATTCTCTGTACTTAGTGTCAATTGGGACATGAGGTCTTGGACAGATGAATGGCCTCCATGCCAGAAAAACTTTAATTTGCCTCAGTGGTGGACTTGGTTAGGAAAATGTCCTTGTGCAAGAACATTTTTAGTGAATGGTTAGGGCATCACCTGCTTCTCACCTGCCCTAAAATTGATCAGTGCCCAGGTCTCCATGAGAGCAGGGAGGGGGTCTCAGCACTTACTCAACCCACATCTAGTATAAATGTAACTTTAAATTTGAAAGGAACCTTGTGCAGTTGCGCAGATGGTGTGTCCACCCAAGCTGTCTTATCTCTCCTTTTTTTTTTTTTTCATTTACCAGTGAATTTTAGTAGGTTTTCAGTGAAGCAGCACCAAGCATATCAGTGACCTGCAATAGTGTGTATCCTATATCCTTTAGGTTGCTGCTTTGTGTAAAAATCCTACCTTCCTGAAAATCCACCCACTCACAAGGAGAGATCGAATCTGATGGGAAGCCAGTTTCTCAGCTATCAGGCTTCACCCTCTGCAAACATCACTGGTTGCATAAAACTGACAGCATCCTTAACAACTTAACAATCAGCGATGGTTTGGAAGGGGGGGAGATAGTGGCAGAAAATATACCACCTGCTGCATAGTATACAGAGACAGGCACTCTGCCTGTCTCTGTATGCCAACATAGAGATGGTCTTATTTACCTCCAGTATCTTTGTCTACAAACTGAAGGTAATTTTTTTTTTTTTATTTGGTGCAGTAGTAGTGTCATTTTGTAAAAGTGGGGCTATTAAGAACCATATAAATCTGTCACGTATGTTGGTTAAGCTACCTAAAGTGACAGCGTGGATTTCTTAATATGGGGTAAGCCATTTTATAGGGTCATACTGCTAGAAAAGTGTTGTTAGGTCTTTGCTAATCCCCCCTGACCATGTCTATGTAAAGACTTCCGTTAATGTGCAACTCCAGCTTCCCCTAACTGGTCTTAAAACTGTCCCCTGCCCCCTCCTAACATCTGTACTACTTAACCTGTATAAGAAAGATGTATATACTTTCAGTTTTTGTAGCTGCTGACTTATTTTTTTATGTTGTGACTGGAGCTCCGCTTTAAAGCTGCATGCACACTGGGTTTAAAAAAATGTGTTTTGCCTGTAGAAGCAACTAATGTTATCCTGTATCCATGCACATTAGGTAGTCTAGAGGTGTTTAAGTTCAGCATTTAAAGGCAGAAAAAACCCTTCTGTTTTGTATTTTTGAGAGCGTTTGTCTGACAGAAAAAAAGCTAATCACTCCTAAACGCTAGTACAAACAAAACACTCAAAATTAGCATTTTTTTCTGTAAACTGGCAGGTTTTTTTAGCCAGTGAGCTTGGAGCCTAAAGCAGCTTTAGGTAGGTTTAGCTTTTTTAAACCACAGGCTTAGGTCTAAAGTGGACTTTCACCAGAAGCGAAGTTTGCCTCCCAGATGCCTTGGCCCCCCCCTTCCTCGAGCACCACCATTATGGCGCATATGTGCCGACGGACTCTGCCCGACCCTTGGCAAAGCCTGTTGGCACATCTGGCAGGTGATTTACCGTACATGCTCAAAGACAGGGAAGTTATACCATTTGTATGATATACAGGTTGCAAAAGGTACCAACATCTTTGTAGCATATTCAAAAATAGAGAACAATTTCTGACAAATTATAAAATAATAAATACGTAATTTAAATGTATACATCATACAAGATTATGAGTAGATTGCCTCCCTTAAATAGGTACCTATAGGACTATAACAATAAACAAACAGAAGGTGCCGCCATTTAAGTGTATCAGTTTAATTAAAAACAAATAAAGGGAAGGGTTAAAATGCACTCACAAGAGTAAATGGCCATATGATATGCCCATTTACTCTCATCCTTGTGAGTGTATTTTAACCCTTCCCTTTACTTGTTTTTACTTAAAGCGGAACTCCACCCAAAAGGGGAAGTTTCACTTTAAGTCTTTGTCCCCCGCTCCCCATTAAGGATTGGCACCTTTGGGGAGTGGGGTACTCGAATTTGACAGGTACCCGCTCCCACTTCCGCTGTGATCACCTAACGCGATCGGAAGCTGCCCTCAC